CCGTCCATCCATCCGTCCATCCACCCGTCCATCCGTGCATCCATCCGTCCATCCATCTATCCATCCATCCGTCCGTCCGACCATCCGTCCGTCCATCCATCCATCCATCCACCGTCCCGTCCGTCCATCATCCATCCGTCCGTCCTGCATCCATCCGTCCCTGCATCCATCCGTCCGTCCATCCGTGCGTCCGTCCATCCGTGCGTCCGTCCATCCGTGCGTCCGTCCATCCGTGCGTCCGTCCATCCATCCTACCGACCATCCGTCCGTACGTCCATCCGTACGTCCGTCCGATCCGTCCGTCCGTCCGTCCGACCCTCCATCCATCCGTCCATCCATCCGCCCATCCATCATCCGTGCGTCCGTCCATCCATCCGTGCATCCGTCCATCCATCCACCCATCCATTCGTCCATCCGTGCATCCATCTAACCATCCATCCGTCCGTCCCGTCCATCATCATCCGTGCGTCCGTCCATCCATCCGTCCATCCACCCTTTCGTCCATCAGTGCATCCATCCATCCGTCCATTCATCCATCCATCCGTGCATCCATCCGTCCGTCTATCCATCCATCCATCCATCCATCCATCCGTCCGTCCGTCCGTCCGACCATCCGACCGTCCGTCCATACGTCTATCCGTCCGACCATCCATCCATCCGTCCGATCATCCATCCATCCGACCGTCCATCCATCCGTCCGTCCATCCATCCGTCCGTCCATCCATCCGACCACCATCCGTCCGTCCATCCGTCCCTGCATCCATCCGTCCATCCATCCGTCCGACCGTCCATCCATCCGTCCGTCCATCCGTCCGTCCGTCCATCCATCCGTCCGTCCATCCGTCCGTCCATCAACCTATCCATTCGTCCATCCATCCATCCATCCCGTCCATCTATCCATCCGTCCTCCGTCCATCCGTCCATCTATCCGTCCATCCATCCATCCATCCGTCCCTGCATCCATCCGTCCCTGCATCCATCCATCCGTCCATCCATCTATCCGTCCGTGCGTCCGTCCATCCATCCGACCATCCATCCGTCCTTCCATCCCGCCGTCCATTTGATCGTCCGTCCGTTCGTCCGTCCGTCCGTCCATCCATCCATCCCCCATCCATTTGTCCATCCGTCCGTGCATCCATCCGTCTATCTGTCCATCCGTCCGTGCATCCATCCGTCCGTCCATCTGCGTGCGTCCATCCGTCTATCCGTCCGTCTATTCATCCATCGTTCCGCATCCATCCATCCACCCGTCCATCCGTGCATCCATCCGTTCATCTATCTATCCATCCATCCGTCCATCCGACCATCCGTCTGTCCATCCATCCATCCATCCATCCGACCGTCCGTCCATCTATCCGTCCATCCATCCGTCCCTCCATCCGTGCGTCCGTCCATCCGTGCGTCAGTCCATCCGTGCGTCAGTCCATCCGTGCGTCAGTCCATCCGTGCGTCAGTCCATCCGTGCGTCCGTCCATCCGTGCGTCCGTCCATCCGTCCGTCCGTCCGTCCGTCCATCCACCCGTCCGTCCATCCATCCGACCGTCTATCCGTCCGTCCATCCATCCAACCATCCTTTCATCCGTGCATCCATCCGTCCATCCCTGCATCCATCCGTCCGTCCGTCCATCCATCCGCCCGTCCATCCATCCGACCGTCCATCCATCCTTCCGTCCATCCATCCATCCGTCCATCCCTGCATCCATCCATCCGACCGTCCGTCCATCCATCCATCCGGCCGTCCGTGCATCCATCCGTCCGTCCATCCATCCACCCATCCATTTGTCCGTCCGTCCATCCGTCCGTGCATCCATCCGTCCGTCCATCCATCCATCCACCCGTCCATTTGTCCGTCCATCCATCCATCCATCTGTCTATCCATCCATCTATCCGTCCGTCTATTCATCCGTCCATTCCCTCTGTCCGTCCATCCATCCGTCTATACATTCATCCATTCCTCTGTCCATCCATTCATCCGTCCGTCCATCCATGCATCTATCCATCCATCCCTCCGTCCATCCGTCCGTCCGTCCATCCATCCGTCCATCCATTCATCCGTCCATCCATCCATACGTCTATCCATCCATCTGTCCATCCATCCGTCTATACATTCATCCATTCCTCTGTCCATCCATTCATCCGTCCGTCCATCCATCCGTCCACCCATCCATTCGTCCATCCATCCGTCCATCCATGCATCCATCCATCCGTCCGACCATCCGTCCGTCCATCCGTCCGTCCGTCCAACCGTCCGTCCGACCGTCCATCCATCCGTGCGTCCGTCCGTCCATCCATCCACCCATCCATCCGACCGTCCATCCGTCCATCCGTCCATCCGTGCGTCCTGTCCATCCGTGCGTCCGTCCATCAGTGCGTCCGTCCGTCCATCCATCCACCCGTCCGTCCATCCATCCGACCGTCCGTCCGTCCATCCATCCGTCCATCCGTGCATCCATCCGTCCATCCCTGCATCCATCCATCCTGCATCCATCCATCCATCCATCCGCCCGTCCTTTCGTCCGTCTGTCCGTGCATCCATCCATCCGTCCGTCCATCCATCCACCTATCCATTTGTCCGTCCGTCCATCCGTCTATCCGTCCGTCCATCCATCCGTCCGTCCGTCTGTGCGTCCATCCATCCATCCATCTGTCTATCCATCCATCTATCCGTCCGTCTATTCATCCGTCCATTCCTCTGTCCGTCCATCCATCCATCCATCCATCCATCCGTCTATACATTCATCCATTCCTCTGTCCATCCATTCATCCGTCCATCCATTCATCCGTCCGTCCATCCATCCGTCCACCCATGCATCCATCCATCCATCCGTCCATCCATCCGTCCGACCATCCATCCGTCCATCCGTCCGTCCATCCGTCCGTCCATCCATCCGTCTATCCGTCCATCCGTCGACCATCCGTCCGTCCAACCCGTCCGTCCGTCCATCCATCCATTCGTCCGTCCGTCCATCCATCCACCCATCCATCCGACCGTCCATCCGTCCGTCCATCCATCCGTGCGTCCGTCCATCCACCCGTCTGTCCATCCATCCGACCGTCCATCCGTCCGTCCATCCATCTGACCGTCCCTCCATCCATCCGTCCATCCATCTGTCCATCCCTGCATCCATCCGCCCGTCTGTCCGTGCATCCGTCCGTCCGTGCATCCATCCATCCGTTCATCCATCCACCCATCCATTTGTCCGTCCGTCCATCCGTCTATCCGTCCGTCCATCCATCCGTCCCTCTGTGCGTCCATCTATCCGTCCGTCTATTCATCCGTCCATTCCTCTGTCCATCCATCCATCCGTCTATACATTCATCCATTCCTCTGTCCATCCATTCATCCGTCCCTCCATCCGTGCATCTATCCATCCATCCCTCTGTCCATCCGTCCGACCATCCGTCCGTCCGTCCGTCCGTCCATCCATCCATCCATCCATCCATCCATCCGTCTATACATTCATCCATTCCTCTGTCCATCCATTCATCCGTCCGTCCATCCATCCGTCCACCCATCCATTCGTCCATTCGTGCATCCATCCGTCCATCCGTCCGTCCATCCATCCGTCCGACCATCCATCCGTCCGACCATCCCGTCCGTCCATCCGTCTGACCATCCGTCCAATCGTCCGTCCGACCGTCCATCCATCCGTGCGTCCGTCCGTCCGTCCATCCATCCGACCGTCCATCCGTCCGTCCATCCATCCGACTGTCCATCCGTCCATCCATCCGACCGTCCGTCCATCCATCCATCCGACCGTCCGTCCATCCATCCGTGCATCCATCTATCCATCCATCTGTCCGTCCATCCATCCATCCATCCGACCGTCCATCCATCCGACCGTCCGTTCGTGCATCCATCCGTCCATCCATCTATCCATCCATCCGTTCGTCCATCCATCCGTTCGTCCATCCATCCATCCGTCCGTCCATCCATCCAACCGTCCGTCCATCCGTCCCTGCATCCATCTATCCATCCGTCCGTCCATCCATCCGTCCCTGCATCCATCCATCAGTCCCTGCATCCATCCATCCATCCGTCCGTCCATCCACCCGTCCATCCATGCATCCGTCCGTCCATCTATCCATCCATCCATCCGTCTATCCATTCATCCGTTCATTTGTCCATCCATCAATCTATCTATCTGTCTATCAATCTGTCGGGCCGGGAGGTGAGGGTCATATTTCCCCAGCAGACCTCCTATACAGGTATACAACAAGCACACTGACCCCTCCTGCACACTGCTCCGTCCTGCACACTGACCCCTCCTGCACACTGACCCGTCCTGCACACTGACCCCTCCTTCACACTGACCCCTCCTGCACACTGCTCCGTCCTGCACATTGCTCCGTCCTGCACACTGCCCCTCCTGCACACTGACCCGTCCTGCACACTGACCCCTCCTGCACACTGACCCCTCCTTCACACTGACCCCTCCTGCACACTGACCCGTCCTGCACACTGACCCCTCCTGCACACTGCTCCCTCCTGCACACTGACCCCTCCTGCACACTGACCCCTCCTTCACACTGACCCGTCCTGCACACTGACCCCCCCTTCACACTGACCCCGTCCTGCACACTGACCCGTCCTGCACACTGCCCCGTCCTGCACACTGACCCCTCCTTCACACTGACCCCTCCTGCACACTGACCCGTCCTGCACACTGACCCGTCCTGCACACTGCCCCTTCCTGCACACTGACCCCTCCTTCACACTGCCCCTTCCTGCACACTGACCCCTCCTTCACACTGACCCCTCCTTCACACTGACCCGTCCTGCACACTGACCCGTCCCGCACACTGACCCGTCCCGCACACTGCCCCGTCCCGCACACTGACCCCCCCGTCCCGCACACACTGACCCCTCCCGCACACTGACCCGTCCCGCACACTGCCCCGTCCCGCACACTGACCCGTCCCGCACACTGACCCGTCCCGCACACTGCCCCTCCCGCACACTGACCCGTCCCGCACACTGACCCGTCCTGCACACTGACCCGGAGATATGCATCCAGCGCCCCGTTCTCCATGTACTCTGTAAGGATCATTATGGGGCGACTGCGGGTCACAGCCCCTTCAAGGCGCACAACATTGGGGTGGTCAAACTGTCCCATAATGCTTGCTTCACTGAGGAATTCCCCGCGTTCCTTGTCTCCACTCCCTGAGCGCAATGTGCGGATACACGCGGCTATCTCACGTTTTCCTGGAAGACAAAGGCGGCCGCGACACACATCGCCGTACTCTCCTGGAGGAGAAAGAAAAAAGAAATAGATAAAAATGAAGTTTTTTGCAGCAATTTTCTCTTAAATTGTCACATAGGACTTCTAACCGGGGCGGACTGACCATTCGGAAATTTGGACACTGCCCGAGGGCCCGGGGTCAGTAGGGGGCCCTTGAGACACCCCTGGTACCTTTTTCATAGGCTTTTTTGAGTTTGGGCAAGGATACAGGAGCCCCATGATCCCCTATTGCCTGGGGGACCCCATGAGTTGTCAGCCCGCCCCTGGTTCTAACCCAAGACCGATGGTTGACATGAGATCATATGATAGAGCCAGGGGCGGACTGACAACTCATGGGGCCCCTGGGCAATAGGGGATCATGGGGCTCCTGTGTCCTTGCCCAAACTCAAAAAAACCTATGAAAAAGGTACCAGGGGCATCTCATGGGGCCCCCTACTGACCCCGGGCCCTCAGGCAGTGCCTGAGTTTCCAAATGGTCAGTCCACCCCTGGATGGAGCCTATTGCTTGCTCTAGGCATGAAGCTTTAGTAGAGAACATACAATTCGTCCAGCCTGGCATGAATGTGTGTGAAATTCGTCCAATGAATGATTTATAAACAGACCCCATAGTAGGAGGTTATAGGGTGTATGGCTGACGTGGAGACAACACACATTTTGTTATTTCAGAATCGTAATCAGTTCTGTTCTGGGTCCTACAGCCCGGAGCCTCTGGTGAGCTTTGGGTGAGATAAAGCCTCTATTCCTAGGTCTGCATCTTCTATTAACCCCTGCTGCACCAGAGGATTACAACGGGGGGGGGGGGGGATTTCTGCGAAACGAGGATACAACAACACAAGGGACAAATCTCAGAAAAGACAAGTAATGTCCTTTATGCTGATTTAGGAAAATACCACAATATGGCTACTAGATGGAGCTGCTGCTACTAGGAAACAAATACCTCTTTACTATGTTCATCCGCTCCATCTAGTGGTCATAATGTGGTATTTTCCTGCTTCACTCTGTATGAATATATAACATTCACGCCTGAAAATAGTCCTAGAACGTTTGATTTTGCCCATATTTGCACAGAACAAATTGTAGATGCAGTTTCAGATTTTTAAAAATACACCCGTAAGTTAACCCCTTCCAGTCCAGACACTTTCACCCCCTTCCAGGCCGGACACTTTCCCCCCTTCCAGGCCGGACACTTTCACCCCCTTCCAGTCCAGACACTTTCACCCCCTTCCAGTCCGGACACTTTTACCCCCTTCCAGTCCGGACACTTTTACCCCCTTCCTGTCCGGAAAAATTTCCCCCCCCTTCCAGTCCGGACACTTTTACCCCATTCCAGTCCGGACACTTTCCTCCCCTTCCAGTCCGGACACTTTCCTCCCATTCCAGTCCGGACACTTTCCCCCCTTCCAGTCCGGACACTTTCCTCCCATTCCAGTCCGGACACTTTCACCCCCTTCCAGTCCGGACACTTTCCCCCCATTCCAGTCCGGACACTTTCCTCCCCTTCCAGTCCGGTCCACACTTCCCCCCCTTCCAGTCCGGACACTTTCCCCCCCCCCCCTTCCAGTCCAGTCCGGGACACTTTCCTCCCATTCCAGTCCGGACACTTTCACCCCATTCCAGTCCGGACACTTTCCCCCCTTCCAGTCCGGACACTTTCCTCCCATTCCAGTCCGGACACACTTTCCGGACACTTTCACCCCCCTTCCAGTCCGGACACTTTCTCCCTCTTCCAGTCCGGACACTTTCCCCCCCTTCCAGTCCGGACACTTTCAACCCCTTCCAGTCCGGACACTTTCACCCCCTTCCAGTCCGGACACTTTCAACCCCTTCCAGTCCGGACACTTTCAACCCCTTCCAGTCCGGACACTTTCCCCCCCTTCCAGTCCGGACACTTTCCCCCCCTTCCAGTCCGGACACTTTCACCCCCTTCCAGTCCAGGCCAATTTTCAGCTTTCAGCGATATCACACTCTGAATGACAATTGCGCGGTCATGCAACACTGTACCCATATGAGTTTTTTAGCATTTTTTTGAGACAGATAAAGCTTTATTTTGGTGGTATTTATTCACCACTGGGATTTTTATTTTTTTTGCTATGTAAATGAAAAAGTCCAAAAATTGTGAAAAAAAAATGTGTTTTTCTTATAAAAGTTTGCAAATAAATAATATTTCATCATAAATCTTGGCCAAAATGTATTCAGTTATCTTTTTAGTAAAAAAAAAAACAACCCAAATTAGTTTATAACCAAAAATTATAATTTTTACACTTTTATTTCATTTTTTAATATTATTATTTATGTTTATTTTATTTTTTTTTTACATACTGTCACCCTAGCAGTACAGTTTCATCATGGTGACACTGGGGGGGGGGGGGTAATGAAGATTTTTAATTTTTTTTTACACTAATTGCTTTTACACCCAGAACGGCTGTAAAAGCAATCATTTCTCCTCTCTGGCTCACACAGAGGTCCCGTACAGCTATTGGTGTTCCACTGCATCTGGAGGACACAGTGGGCACCAGATCACGATGCTGTGCGCTCCCAGGGAGCGCACACAGTCCAAAATGGCGGGCGCTGTTTATGAACAGCAACCCGCCTCTGGACTGCCACCATCCGGCCATTTATATACAGCGGCCGGACAGCAAGTGGTTAACCCCTTAAAGTGGTTGTACAGGCTGAAGGTTTCATTCTATGCATGAAGATAAAAAACCTTCAGTGTTGTAACGGAACCGACCCAGCCTAGGCTGATTACTTCCGTTAGAATACCGCTTCCCCCGTCCGAACAGCGACCACAGACACCACAGCCGACCATACAAGACTGGACGACACCAGTCTTGAAGTAAACCAGGAGGTAGACTACTTTTATCTGACCACAGTTACAAGATATATACACTTAGGGGACAGTCCCCCTCCCTGCATAATGACACAGGGCGGGATAATCTGCATTTAGTAACAAGAGACACACCAACAGACAGTCCCATCAGGAGGGAGGGCTGCTGGAGACACACCCCCCACCAAGCCAATACACAAACACATACATCCCATAATAGTTTGCTCCCAAGCAAGACACAGAACGATGGGATGTAACCACATAGCATCAAACAATCACCAACCCCCCACCCCAATATTAGGGCAGATCACCCTGTACCCCTAACAGGCACAGGGTGACTTACACATAAGAGGGATATGGGGAGCTGAGACAGAGGTCTCCCCACCTCTCCAAAGTGAGCTGTGTTTCAAGGGCCCCCCACCCAAAGTGACTCCCGTCACACATGTGCAGTCCCCAGCCCCATAATACTTACCTGAGCTTGATCTCGATCCAGCCTTCTCTAGCGCTCCTGGCTCTCTCCCTCCTCACTGGGTCAGACACAGAAGTGGAAGCCATTGGTCCCCTTTGCTGACAATCACAGCCAGTGAGGAGGGAGCAGGGGGGGGGGGGGGGTAGAGCTGCACCACACTCTGTGTGTTTTATGGACAAAGAGCAGGGCTCAGTACGCACAAGGGACCCAATAGCAAGCAACTTGCTTAGGGGGACTCAGCAGGGGGGAGAAGCCAGGAGCACCGGCAGGGAACCAAAGAAGAGGAGGATTGTGACTGCTCTGTGCATAACCATTACACAGAGCAGGTAAGTATAACATGTTTGTCAGGCATTAAATACATTATCATGTATGTAACGGTTTGTACATGTGTATACTGTACATATACACAAACCATACATATATGATGAAAAAAAAAAATAATAGTAATAATAAATTTTATTTATATATATATATATATATATTATTATTTTTTTTACATTATATATGTATGGTTTGTATATATGTATACACATGTACAAAAAATACATATGATAGAAAAAAAAATATATATACTTTTTTTTATCATATGTATGGTTTGTACATGTGTATACATATATACAAACCATACATATATGATGAAAAAAAAAAATAATAGTAATAATAAAAATTTATTATATATATATATATATTTTTATTATTACTATTATTTTTTTTTTTACATCATATATGTATGGTTTGTATATATCTATTCACAAATACAAACCATACATATATGATGAAAAAAAAAATAATATATATTTTTATTTTTAAAATATAATATTCTACTAAAATAATAAACTACTATATATCATTTATGACTTTATAAGCATACCAGAAGAGGATTAATGGATGACAATCACTTTAAAATCCATACATATATAATAAACCATATGCAATCATAAGTAACATATTCAATATTGAAACAAAGATTCACAACGCCATTTTCTATCGGAATACTTTCAGGGGGATGGAAGGGTTATTGCCTATTATCCGGGTATTTAATGCCTCTGTTCAGGAATAAAACATTTTGTGTTTCTTCTTTGCCAGTTAGTCCAATGAAACAGAAAACTCATCCTGTATTTCTCATAAAATGCCTTCAGGTCCTTAGAAATATTCATCTAATCGTATCTTCATCTCATTACAAGGAAGATGTCAGGACAAATTTTTAACACGTTTTAACATAACAGGAAATTATTTCCACATGACGGGCCGTCTCCTCCGCCGAAGATCGACTTTAAGGAACGAGATTAATTCTAATTACTGAGCGGGGGATTTTACATACGGGGATGAGCAAAGAGAAGAGAATCTGCCAATTTTTCTTTTAGCCCTCATGTACATGTAAGATGGGGAAACAGCTCTCATTGTTTGAACACTGGAGTAAATCAAATGTTTTGACTGACATTCTGCTGTTTAGCCACAAGATGTCACTGTTTTTCTAACACAGCCTCAGACTGCATAGATACTTCTATATTCATGAAGAGGTGGGGTTTACACACAGGAGTTGAGTGAACAGGAAGAAGAGACAGCAGCCATGCTTTGGAGAATGGGGCTGTGTGTGAGCTGAGAATCCGATGCCATCCAGGTGTGAGAACATCCCTCCGTAATCAGAAATGCAGCTGAGTGAAGCTGATGGTGTTCAAGACGCTGATCCTGTTCAGAGAAAGGAAGATTGCTGCCAGGAAGGCTGATGAGATTGCTGCTTGTTGGAGAGACATTTGTTCTGTTCAGAGTCACCAGCGGATGCAAAGCAGACCCGGGTCGGTAAGATGGTGCACGCACCTCATTTCAGTGTTGGCGCCTTGAGACTACGTCCAAGCCTATAGTTAGTTAGTTAGGGTCTCTGTTTGTGTCAGGCCACAAGTGTTACTGATTATTGGAAGGACTCCACAACTTAAAGTGACATTTCACATTGGAGAGCTGATAAAATCCTACAAACTCAAGCCAGACTGGCGTTTTGCTCAGAAGGAATACTCAGGCACGTGCTACAGGACCAGTTATGGGAGGGGGAATACTGTAGATTTGTGTAAGATTGTAAGCTGTTGTGCTGCACCGCAGGCTAGCCCATACCGTACACCCATACACTGATTCCTGCTCTTTTAGGGTAATAACAGGTAAGGTGTGGCAGCTTAGTTGTGCCCCCCAGTAGGTAAATTACTACACCTTCTACCTTCATCCATCAGGAGGCGCCGCGCTGTGCAGCACAAGGGTCTCAGCCTTTGGGCTGGGTGTATGTAAATGTATTGTATGTTTCCAGCATTTGCGGTTGTGTTTATTTGCCACATCTAAGTAAAATTCTGTTGTGGCAAAGGCTGGTGTTGGGGTTGCTTTCCTCGTCCATGACTTCACTGTATCCTGGGGAGCCCACCTTGGTACACGGCTTCCAGAAGAACCCACCCCGGTACACGGCTTCCAGAAGAACCCACCCCGGTACACGGCTTCCAGAAGAACCCACCCCGGTACACGGCTTCCAGAGGAACCCACCCCGGTACACGGCTTACAGAAGAACCCACCCCGGTACACGGCTTACAGAAGAACCCACCCCGGTACACGGCCTACAGAAGAACCCACCCCGGTACACGGCCTACAGAAGAACCCACCCCGGTACACGGCCTACAGAAGAACCCACCCCGGTACACGGCCTACAGAAGAACCCACCCCGGTACACGGCCTACAGAAGAACCCACCCCGGTACACGGCCTACAGAAGAACCCACCCCGGTACACGGCTTACAGAAGAACCCACCCCAGTACACGGCTTACAGAAGAACCCACCCCGGTACACGGCTTCCAGAAGAACCCACCCCGGTACACGGCTTACAGAAGAACCCACCCCGGTACACGGCCTACAGAAGAACCCACCCCGGTACACGGCCTACAGAAGAACCCACCCCGGTACACGGCCTACAGAAGAACCCACCCCGGTACACGGCCTACAGAAGAACCCACCCCGGTACACGGCCTACAGAAGAACCCACCCCGGTACACGGCTTACAGAAGAACCCACCCCGGTACACGGCTTACAGAAGAACCCACCCCGGTACACGGCTTACAGAAGAACCCACCCCGGTACACGGCTTCCAGAAGAACCCACTCCGGTACATGGCTTACAGAAGAACCCACCCCGGTACACGGCTTACAGAAGAACCCACCCCGGTACACGGCTTCCAGAAGAACCCACCCGGTACACGGCTTACAGAAGAACCTCCCCCCCCCGCTACACGGCTTACACACAGGGGACGTGTTGATGACGTTGGTAATGTTAGCTGTGTAAAGTTGGCATGGGCTGCCAATGGGTGGCCCCTGGTCACCGTCCTTCCAGCAGAGTGCATGAGAAACAGCGAAGCATCAGTAGAAATCTGTCCTCTGCACACTCACAGACATATCTCCACCTACCTCCTACACTTTTCGGCAGCAGCGGAGAGGGCGGGAGGTCATATGACACCCTCCCAGAACTGGGTAACGGCGCTGTAGCCATCATTCGGCGCGGTTATCAAGTGATTAAAGTGAACTTATCCTTTAGGGTGTGCTAAAATGACAAATATTGAGAGGCCACATTAGCATGCCTCATACCTGTTCCCGTCACCTCTTCTATCTTTACGAAGGATACATCGATTTCTCGAGCGAACTCTCGCACAGCTTCGGTGGGGTCCTCATACGTTGAAGGGTCAATGTAATACTTCACTCCTAAACCTGAGGACAAAATTACATTTTTTTTTAATTAAACATACAAAAAACAGTATATAAAATGTCTGCACAATTTCACGTATGTTCCCGCACACACAAACCACCCGCATGCCAAAACGTGCTGCTCTTTAACAACATGTCGGCTGTCATTCATTCCTAATGGCATCTAAAAACGCAGCACGTTTGAGGGTGCGGGAACAGCAGGGGAATCACAACCGCTGTGTTCTCAAAATGCTGTAGGAACCTCATTTATTTCAGGTACTTATATAGAGCCAGGGGCAGACTGACCATTTGAGCACTTGGGCACTGCCCAAGGGCCCTGGGGTCAGTAGGGGGCCCCATGAAATGCCCCTGGTACCTTTTTTTATAGGCTTTTTTGGGTGTGCTTTGAGTGTGGGCAAGGACACAGGGGTCCCATAATCCCCTATTGCCTGGAGGCCCCATGAGTTGTCAGTCCACCCTTGCACAGCGCTTTACATATCTATAGTACATTCACATCAGTCCCTAACCCTCAAGGGGTGTACAAATCTAAGGTCCCTAACTTACATTCATACATACACATACTAGGGACAATTTAGACAGGATCTAATTCACCTACCAACATGTCTTTGGAGTGTGGGAGGAAACCAGGGTACCTGGAGGAAACCCACACAGGCACAGGGAGAACATACAAATTCCAGGCAGGTGGTGCCGTGGTTGGGATTTGAACCAATGACCCGAGTACTGCCAGGCGGAAGTGCTAACCATTTAGCCACTGTGCTGCCCCTTATTCCTGTAAGAAACACAGGTACAGCAGCCCATCCATGTAAGTGGTGTGCCGTGACCGTGCAAAAGCAGCCAGCAAAGCCGCAATAGTGTGAACCAAGGGCGGACTGACAAATCATGGGGCCCCCGGGCAATAGGGGATCATGGGGCCCCTGTGTCCTTGCCCAAACTCAAAAAAAGCCTATGAAAAAGGTACCAGGGGCATCTCATGGGGCCCCCTACTGACCCCGGGCCCTTGGGCAGTGCTCGAGTTTCCAAATGGTCAGTCCGCCCCTGGTGTGAACCGAGCCTAAGAATGAATGAAGAGAAACGCATTTGGGCTGCGGGTGGTTGCGGGAACATGTGCAATTCCTGCACCCACAGCCACTCACAATAGTGTGAACCTAGCCTTAGTCTTTTTTTTTAGGGCCGGTTCACAACATAGAAATGCAGTCCAGATGCATTCCAGATGCGTTTCCGCATGCACCTTTTTTATATGTTTTTGGCACATTTCAGTGCATTTTTGATGTGTACAGCTGCGTCTCTAATGCTTTCTGGTTCACTTTTTCTCCCTCTCTTGTTCTTCAATTTAAATAGGGACATGTGCGTTCCAGTGCGTGTTTGGTGCATTCCAGTGCGTTCCGATGCGTTTTACCGCGCTCCAGTGCGGTTTCGCAGGAAAAATGCAGCCTGTTCTACTTTATTTTCTGCAACCGGAAAGCACTGGAACTGCAGCGATGTGAACTATGATAATGACAGCCACATAACCTAGTTTCTGTACATTTTGAATGCAGAAAAAAAGCACACTGAGCCCCGTTTCACACTAATGCAGTGCGGGAAACGCAGTGAATCCTGTGCATTTCCCGCACCGCATTGCAATCGTATGGCGCCCATGCGATCTTGTACAGGTGTCAATTTTAAATAACGACACTCCGAAACTGCAAAACGCAGTGCGATTACCAGAATGCGCATTGCATGGGTGTGAACAATCAGGTGCGGGAAAAGAAGGGTCCTGCACCTTTTTGGTGCAGATGCAATGCGGTTTGAGCCATACAAAATATATGGCTCAAATCACACTGCACAGATACCACAGTGTGAAACGGGGCTCAGTTGCTTTTTTCTGCATTCAAAACGCACAGAAAGTAAGTGATATGGTGGTCAATGTCATAGTTCACATCAGTGCTTGCAGTTCCAGTGTATTCCAGTTGCAGAAAAAAAAGGTAGAACAGGCTTCATTTTTCCTGCACAGAACTGTACTGGAACGCGGCAAAATGCATCAAAAATGCATCCGAAAGCACCAAAAACGCACTGGAATGCACATGTCCCTATTTATATTGAAGAAAAAGAGATGGAGAAAAAATGAACTGGAAATCATCAAAAACGCACCAGAACGCATCAAGAATAATAAAAATAATAATCAAGAAAAAGCATCAAAAATGCACAAGCAAAAAGGTATCCAGAATGCATCTGGACTGCGTTTCTATAGTGTGAACTGGCCCTTAAGGCTGCTGTCACACTGATCCATTGTTCTTCCGCTTTTTCATTTAAAAAAACGGAAGGAAAATGTGACCATGTATTCCTATGGAACTCTCCACACTGATCCGGTGCGTTTTTTTTAAAATCCTGCTTGCTGCATTTTTGGTGCAGTAAAAAAAAACACAACTTGCCATTTAAATAAATGGAAACCGTGGCAAAAATGCATTAAAAACGCATCCTGTGGTGTATTTTTGGTGCATTTTTGAGTCACATGTCCTGTAAAAACAGCAGTAAAAACACATGAATTTTTGCAGCACTCTTGCTAGGATCAGTGTGAGCCCCGGTACACACTGAATGCGACTTTGAAATTGCACCACTTTAAGTAGTAACTATCTCTTTTAAGTAACAAAGCCACACATCAGTGTGATTTGTACCTCCGATTCCACTTCAGGTATGACGTGATTTACAAATCGTGCCTGAAATCGCATCTAATGTATGTCAATGGCACTGTCGTAGCCTCCCTAGTGTTCTGATTATGTCCATATTTCTGTGCTCAAAGCGGTACATTTTTTTGCATGGAAATATGTATTTTTTTATTGTAGGCTGTAATTCTTAGGAATAACTCACTGAAATCTGTCTGAACAAGAGTCTAGTAAACATCCCGGGTATGATAAAATTTGAAACACGAAATCATAAATTATAATAAATAATCATAAAAAATAATAATATAATAATAATAAAATTTAATTCAATAATATAATCAAACCAAAAACACTGAAATTTGAAATATAGCGCCAAGTTCGCACATCACTGAGCAAAGTCGCAGAATTGCTTTCAGTGTCTGATGAGGAATTTCCCCCACGAATCATTATCACTCAATTCTGCAAGTGGTTCTGATTTACTATCGCTGTTCTCTAGCCGGTCTAAAACCGCTTTTGACCTAAAGGGACGCTTTTTGGACGCCATGGACGTTTCTCAGTTTCCAGGCAGAAAGAACAGTAAAAATGCAGGCAGGGCGCCGGACAAAGCACTCGGGACAAAATGTATGTGAAATGGTTTGAAACAGGAATGTTATACTATGTGATTTTAGTGTATTTAGTGAATGTCACTTTTTCACATTTTCAAATTTCCCGCCGTTCCGTCCCCCGTATGTCCCGACGTCGCAGGAACGGAACCCAGAAGACAGATGCCGGCATCGGCCGGAGGACATTGCCGGGGACACTGCAGGAGGGACATTGCGGGAGCGCAGGACAAGGTAAGTGCAGAAGAGATCCCGGAGCAACGCTGCAGTGTATTCCTGAGTGTAGCTCGGGGGGGGGGTTACTGCTTGTGGTGCTGAAACTTTACCCCGAGCTACACTCAGGAATACCGCCGGGGGGTTAAAAGGTGCAATTTCAAGTAGCGCGATTTGAAAAATAGTTCCTGCATTTATAATTTCACCACTTCAGTGCAATTTAGCCCCGGTTCACACTGAATGCGACTTTGAAAACTTGCGACTTCACAGATCAGTGCGATCTGTACCTCCGATTTCACTGCAACTTGCAACTTCATTTAACAAAAGTCAATACAAGTTGCAATGAAATGGGAAAAAAGTAATACAGGAAATATTTTTGTCACAAAGGCAGATCCTATCAGACGTTTGTAGAACACTTCCAAAAGGGAACAATCTAATGTAGGACTCACCTCTTGAACTGATGTAGTGCTGCAGTCTGTCAGTGTATGGAGTTTCTCTTCTTTTACTGAAAGTATACAAAAAAACTACAATTCTGTTACCGGACAGGAGTGGCAGAGAAAAGTAGCAAAGCTGCAAATATAAGTAAAAAGCGGAACTGCACTGCGCCTGAGCGCCACACACCAATAATTCCATTTAATTGATTTTTAATATCCAAAGCAAACTGCCCCACCCGTCCAAGTCTCCATGCTTTAGCGCCGCCCCATTGCAGAAATACTGCTACAGGGCAGCAGCGGTGCGCAAAGTCACTTTATATATATGATTTTACACTTCTAGGTAGGGGGTGCATGCGTGCCTTACCCACACCGCCATTCGCAGCCATGGCTGTCAATCACAGACGGTGATTACTCGCCGGCGCCCGGTGATTGCCAAGCAGCTCCGACGGGGGAGAGAACTGTTAGTAAACAAAACAATCCTCTCCCCTGTCAGCTCCTGCACACTGCTTTGCATGACTGTGCATAGCAGAGCCATACAAAGCAATGCACTTACAGTGGAAAGCACACACAGCACAGTTAACCCTTTCATTGCCCCAGATGTTAACCCTTTCCTGCTCTGTGTTATTAGTACAGTGTCCGTGCTTTTTATTAGCACTGATCACTGTATTGGTGTCACTGGGGCAGGGCGGACTGACAACTCATGGGGCCCCCGGGCAATAGGGGATCATGGGGCCCCTGTGTCCTTGCCCAAACTCAAAAATGCCTATGAAAAAAGTACCAGGGGCATCTCATGGGGCCCCCTACTGACCCCGGACCCCGAGTTTCCAAATTGTCAGTCTGCCCCTGCACTGGGGATGTTAGTGACACCAAGTCAGTCCCCCCCCCCCCCCAGTGTCAGAATGCCCGCTGCAGTTTCGCTATAAGTCGCTGATCACCGCCATTACTAGTAAAAATAAAAAAAATTTAAAATCCCAGTATATATACCGCCTCCCAGTATCAGAATGTCCGTCCGACTAACTAACTGTCACTGACATCCCCAGTGACACCAATACAGTGATCAGTGCTAATAAAAAGCACTGACACTGTACTAATGTCACTGGGCAGGAAGGGGTTAACATCTGGGGTGATCGAAGGGTTAACTGTGTGCTGTTTTACTATGTGCTGTGTGTGTGTTTTACTGTAAGCACACTGCTTTGTATGGCTCTGCTATGTAAAGCCATACAAAACATTGTGCATTTGCTGATAGGGGAAAGATCTGCATTGTTTACATACAGACCTCTCCCCCCCCCGTCAGTGATACTCGGCAATCGCTAAGTGCCGGCGGGAATCACCGGCCGGGACCCAGTGATTGACAGGTCCGCTAATGGCGCTGCTCGTGCGCCCCCACCCAGAAATGCAAAATCACGTATATATTTACGTGACTTTGAGCAGCCCTGCCGCCCTGTAGCAGCATTTCTGCTATAGGGCGGTGGGAAATAGAATGCTAGTGTGCATGGAGCCTAAAGGTCCTTTCAGATAGGACAGACCTGTTTTGTGGATCCGCTTGCTCAATGGGGTATCTCTCCGCCAGGGGCGGACTGACCATTTGGAAACTCGGGCACTGCCCGAGGGCCCGGGGTCAGTAGGGGGCCCCATGAGATGCCCCTGGTACCTTTTCATAGGCTTTTTTGAGTTTGGGCAAGGACGCAGGGGCCCCATGATCCCCTATTGCCCGGGGGCCCATGAGTTGTCAGTCCGCCCCTGCTCTCCACTGAGTAGTCAAATGACAGGTCCGTGTCCGCTCTGCTGCTGCAGAATGGACACCGAGCCGTTTGCTCTCATCAGTTGGTGGTCGGATGAAAACGGACCACCTGTCCGTTTCCATCTGACCCGATCCGACGGATGGAAGGGGAATTGGATCCCCATCTGTACCTTTTTTGCGGGTCAGATTGGACTGGATGTTGGCGGGTGTAAACGGACACATGTCCGTTTACACCCACCACTCCATAGAGGAGAATGGAGGCTCTGATAGGGTCTGCCTGAAAATTGGGCAGGCGGACCCAATCAGAACGTTTATGTGAAAGAGGCCTAATAGAGCGCAAATGTTGTCATTTACAGGAGGCACCATTAGTAAATGGACTGTAGATGGCGCTGTAGGCTTTGCTGAGTATAGAGTGATTTATCCTGTAGATTTCAGCCACCATCAGACATGCTGAAGGCACAAAGAATCAAGTCCAGTAATTATTATTATTACTACGAGTTTATATAGCGCCAAAGGGTTTGCTCAGCGTTGTACAATAGGGGGAGTAATAAGGCCCCATGTACACGGGACACTTCTGAACAGGGGCGGACTGACAACTCATGGGGCCCCCGGGCAATAGGGGATCATGGGGCCCCTGTGTCCTTGCCCAAACTCAAAAAAGCCTATGAAAAAAGGTACCAGGGGCATCTCATTGGGCCCCCTACTGACCCCGGACCCTCGGGCAGTGCCGAGTTTCCAAATGGTCAGTCCACCCCTGCTTCTGAACGATGGAAACTGACTGCTGGAAAACATAGGTTAAAAAATGTCTGTTTAGCCGCGTTTGCATACCGCGTTTATGAACGTTTGCATTTAGAAGCGTTTTTTTAACCTCTTCCACCGGCCGCACGCAAATGTGCGGCCTCCCGGCGTCTGGGCCTTGACACCGAGCGGCCGCACATTTGCGCGCAATTAAGAAAAACATATGTGCTGAAAGCGCGCACCCTGTGTGGTCCTAGCACACATGTTCGATACTCACGGAAAGGTCCCGATCTCCTCTTTCGATCAGGACCTTTCCCGATCATGTGACCGCCATGATGGCGAATCAAAACCCCACCCCGCCACCCGGCTTCTGAAACCCTTAAAGGGCCGGGAGGCGCCGACGCCAAGGGGTTAAAGATAACCTCAGGAGACTGTGCAAACTGATAAATATACCTATAAATGTAGCGCTCCCTAATATCACAATATTACATATATATATATATGATTCAAACTGTGATATTACACACCATAAACACAAAATGATATATACCAAATAAAGTGACAGTGATCTAAAATCAAAAACTGGAAATGTGATTCAAAAAAAATATATATTTTGAATAATAGTCCCATCAATCAATAAATAGTCCAATAATAGTGATAAAGTGATCATAAATCATCAGTTAGTGACTTTCTGTGAATCCTCCAACCAATAAAGATGTGCGCTCACCTTCTATGCCTATAAAATAGGCTATACATGCTTGTGGTTCACAAAACCTGGAACCTGGCAGAATAGTCCAGACAGAAGTCAGGGGTTCTGCAACCACCTAGAGCAGAATGAAAACTCCTCCTACAAGCTTTAACCAGTGCTCAGCTGGACATTGATAGAAGTTACAAGACTGCTATATACTGCTGATGAGCAAAGGTATTTAGCAGTTTATATATACTAAAATAATTGCATTTCCATGTTCTGTGTACTGTGTGAGACCAGATATAGTGAATGCAGGGTGCGGGGAGAGCGGATATAGTGAATGCAGGGTCCAGGGAGAGCGGATATAGTGAATGCAGGGTCCTGGGAAACCAGATATAGTGAATGCAGGGTCCGGGGAGACCGGATATAGTGAATGCAGGGTCCGGGGAGACCGGATATAGTGAATGCAGGATCCGGGGAGACCGGATATAGTGAATGCAGGGTCCGGGGAGACCAGATATAGTGAATGCAGGGTCCAGGGAGACCAGATATAGTGAATGCAGGGTCCGGGGAGAGCGGATATAGTGATTGCAGGGTCCGGGGAGAGCAGATATAGTGAATGCAGGGCCTGGGGGAGAGCAGATATAGTGAATGCAGGGTCCGGGGAGAGCGGATATAGTGAATGCAGGGTCCGGGGAGAGCGGATATAGTGAATGCAGGGTCCGGGGAGACCGGATATAGTGAATGCAGGGTCCGAGGAGACAGGATATAGTGAATGCAGGGTCTGGGAAAACCAGATATAGTGAATGCAGGGTCCAGGGAGAGCAGATATAGTGAATGCAGGGTCCGAGGAGACCAGGTATAGTGAATGCAGGGTCCAGGGAGAGCGGATATAGTGAATGCAGGGTTCGGGGAGAGCGGATATAGTGAATGCAGGGTCCTGGGACAGCGGATATAGTGAATGCAGGGTCCTGGGAGAGCGGATATAGTGAATGCAGGGTCCGTGGGAGACGGGTATAGTGAATGCAGGTTCCGGGGGGAGACTGGGTATAGTGAATGCAGGGTCCGTGGAGAGCGGATATAGTGAATGCAGGTTCCGGGGAGAGCGGATATAGTGAATGCAGGGTCCGAGGAGAGCTGGGTATAGTGAATGCAGGGTCCGGGAGAGCGGATATAGTGAATGCAGGTTCCGGGGAGAGCGGATATAGTGAATGCAGGGTCCGGGGAGAGCGGATATAGTGAATGCAGGGTCCGGTGAGACCAGATATTGTGAATGCAGGGTCCGGGAGACCAGATATAGTGAATGCAGGGTCCGGGAGACCGGATATAGTGAATGCAGGGTCCGAGGAGAGCGGATATAGTGAATGCAGGGTCTGAGGAGACCGTATATAGTGAATGCAGGATCCGGGGAGACCGGATATAGTGAATGCAGGATCCGGGGAGACCGGATATAGTGAATGCAGGTCCGGGGGGACCAGATATAGTGAATGCAGGGTCCGGGGAGAGCGGATATAGTGAATGCAGGGTCCGGGGAGAGCAGATATAGTGAATGCAGGGTCCTGGGAGACCAGATATAGTGAATGCATTGGAAATAATGGGACTGATGAAGTAATACATTATGGGGTTTTTATTTATACATAGTTTTAATATGATTCATTACTCTCAGTCTTTCATTCAGTAACAGTTCCAAAGAAACCTGACATATTTTGTGTCATATAGTTATCTCCTATGAATCTAAGCGCCATCTAGTTGCCATAGTGCGGTATTTTTTCTAAACACTTCAATCAAGAGAAAAAAATGCATTATGGTCACTAGATGGCGATAGCGGCTCTGACTGTTGCACCATGAAATCCATAGATTTTCTTTTGCCAATTATAAATACAATCTCATTGTGAACCTTTATATGTGAAGTAGTGCTTCTATGACTTATACAGCATTTATGTTCCCCTAAGGACCATCCACAAATATCCTAGAACAATAATAGAGCTTCCAGTCTAGTTTTTGACATACAAACGCATGTCTGTATAAAATACATCGGGGGAGAGTTACTAAAACCGGAACACTCAGAATCTACACATGGCAGCCAATCAACTTCTGACTTCAGCTTGCCCAATTAAGCTTTGACAATAAAACCTGGAAGCCGATTGGTTTCTATGCAGAGCTGCACTAGATTTTGCACCATGCAGGTTTAGTAAATAACCCCCATTGAGTAATCCAGTGCTCCTCCTCACCACTTGATATATAGAGAAATGCATTTATGTCACGTACTGACCTCTTGAATAGAAGGATAAGGATGAGAATGATGGAGATTCCTATGAAAGCCAAAGCACCCAGGCAGGATCCAACGATAAGAGGTAGCTTGTCTTGTCTTACTTCCGCCTGTTCACCACCTAACAGGGAAAAAATGGTTTTACACTGCAAAAAAAGGGCACTGCAGTGTTCTGTAGCAAAGCAGTGATTATAAAAGGAACCTTGGTTAATAGCAGAGGGGAGTCTTATATTTGATACTACAGAAAGGTCTGTAGTCACCCTGCCTTAAGCAGGAGTGATTTATTACATTTGGTTATGTTTGGCTGTAGGCAGCCTAAGCCTGTTTGATTGATCATTTTTCTGTGATTCTCCAGCCTACATGACCCTTTGTTTGAAAAAAGGCCTGAGAATGGGGCCTAGAATGCTGGGTAAGGAGACCTAAGCATCATGGAGGAACTTCAGCCTAAGTGGAGTACTGGAGAAGCTGGTTAGAAGCTTGGTCCTTGACTGGTATGGTGACCTCTCCCTAAGCAATTGGTAGCTGGACCACCAAGTAATTTGAAGCCAATTTTGGAAAGAGGCTTGAGATTGGGCCCTAGAGTGCTGAGTTAGAAGACCAAAGCATCATGGAGGAACGTCAGCCTTAGTAGGGTACTGGAAAAGCTGGGTAGAAGCTTGGTCCTTGACTGAAATATGGTGACTCTATATCCAATGAGTTGGTAGCTGGATCACCAAGAATATATGAAGCCAGTTTTTGAAGGAGGCCTGAGATTGGGGCCTAGAGTGCTGGGTAAGGAGACCGAAGCATTATGGAGGAGCTTAAATCTAAGTTGGGTACTGGAGAAGCTGGGTAGGAGCTTGGTCCTTGACTGAATTATGGTGACTCTATGTCCAATGAGTTGGTAGCTGGATCACCAAGTAATTGAAGCCAATTTTGGAAAGAGGCTTGAGATTGGGGCCTAGAGTGCTAGGTAAGAAGACCAAAGGATCACGAAGGAACTTCAGCCTTAGTAGGGTACTGGAGAAGCTGGGCAGAAGCTTGGTCCTTGACTGAAGTATGGTGGCCCTATATCCAAAGAGTTGGTAGCGGCATCACCAAGTAATTTGAAGCCAATTTTGGAAAGAGGCTTGAAATTGGGACCTAGAGTGCTGAGTTAGAAGACCGAAGCATCATGGAGGAAAAACAGCCTTAGTAGGGTACTGGAGAAGCTGGGTAGAAGCTTGGTCCTTGACTGAAGTATGGTGACCCTATATCCAAGGAGTTGGTAGCTGCATCACCAAGTAATTTGAAGCCAATTTTTGAAGGAGGCCTGAGATTGGGGCCTAGAGTGCTGGATAAGGAGACTGAAGCATTATGGAGGAGCTTAAGCCTAAGTAGGGTACTGGAGAAGCTGGGTAGAAGCTTGGTCTTTGACTGAAGTATGATGACCTCTATCCAAGGAGTTGGTAGCTGGATCACCAAGTAATATGAAGCCAGTTTTTGAAGAAGGCCTGAGATTGGGGCCTATAGTGCTGGGTCAGGAGACCAAAGCATTATGGAGGAGCTTAACTCTAAGTAGGGTACTTGAGAAGCTGGGTAGAAGCTTGGCCCTTGACTGAAGTATGGTGGCCTCTCTCCAAGGAGTTGGTAGCTGGACCACCTAGCAATTTGAAGCCATGAACTTGATTCCCAGGATGCTGAGTTGGCTTCAAGATTCTCTGCCTGCAGAGGCTGTAAGTACTTTTTGTCCTTCCTCTGGAGTGGAGTGGTCTCATCACATGGATGTCCTGTGTACTAACCCTTTCTCCGAGAAGTTTGAATAGAGCTAATAAAATATTTGCTTAAATGAGTGACTGGCACCCATCTGTACGCATCACTCAACTAATGCCAAGGATCTGACGATATGTGAAATGTTAGCTCACCTGACCACTGGAGGTTTGTATCTGCCTCTCAAGAGTAGGGGGTGGCATATGTCAAATTCTGAGGAGTCTGATAGAGGCGGCGACACTGAAATGGAAGTTAGGTAGGAGACAGAAGCCACCAGAGAGGTGAAGACCTCTTCCATTGCAAGCAGCTGCCATTTGGAATTTTTTTTAAGAAACTAACTGGATCTCTTTAATGAGGGAGGGATTGCACAAATCTTCAGAAAAAGCAAAGTACAGATTTTAAATACTTCATGTGCAGCTGTCAACAATATTTCCATAGAAAGGCACTTTGACTTTGAGTGCATAATGTAGGGCACTACAGCCTCTGTTTTGATGAACATTTGCGCTCTTTGCTCAACATCTTTGACTTATTTGGACACGACACACATTGTGTTTGCGTCGCCGTAGGAGAAATACAAGCTGACAAGAGTACTGATCTCGCAGCCGGTAAATGTCATGGTTGTGTATACGTCCCTTGTCGTAAAACTCAGCCTCTTCCGCTAATTGCTTCCCTTGTCTTTGCGTATCACTGAGCTTTCGGCTGTATAGCGAAGGCCTATAATGAGGAGTCGTGCATTATTCAGCAGAGTATGGATAACACCAGATGCATGGGGACACTTACCGCTTAGCAGAGTCTGGAAGTACATGTTTCCGCTGTAGGCCCCATAGCCGCGATCCGTCCTGGCTCTCACCTGGAAGGCATAAATCGCTCCGGGGTTAAGACCTCCAACTGTGGCTGTATTTATTTCACTGATCAGGGACAGAGACTCCCCTTCGTCAGCCTGGATAGAAGGAGAACGAACAGTCACAACAGTGCATTGAGCTAAAGAACGTAGCTTAGGATATTTTAAATGGAAACTTTAGTGGTTTGGGGTCAATTTTATTTTTATCTTTTTAAGTGTATGAGTTTTTAAACTGCTGTTATAACTATATGGCCAAAAGCATGTAGGCACCTGCCTATCACACCCACTATATGTTCAAAGGCCTGTGAACAGCTTACCATAAATCAGTGGTCTCCAAACTGCAGCTCAAGGGCTCAATGTGGCCCTTTGCTTGCCTTTACTCAGCCCTTGGGGCACAATTCCCTCCACTAATATGAAGCACTATTCCTCCTACTTGTACCAACAATGAGGCACAAGTACTTCCATTGACGATAACATTGGGACACTATTCCTCCAACTGATACCAATGATGGGGCACTATTCCTCCACCTGATACCAATGATGGGGCACTATTCCTCCACCTGATACCAATGATGGGGCACTATTCCTCCCACTGATACCAATGATGGGGCACTATTCCTCCACTGATACCAATGATGGGGCACTATTCCTCCACTGATACCAATGATGGGCACTATTCCTCCCCTGATACCAATGATGGGGCACTATTCCTCCCACTGATACCAATGATGGGGCACTGTTCCTCCACCTGATACCAATGATGGGGCACTATTCATCCACTGATACCAATGATGGGGCACTATTCCTCCAACTGATACCAATGATGGGGCACTATTCCTCCCACTGATACCAATGATGGGGCACTATTCCTCCAACTGATACCAATGATGGGGCACTATTCCTCCACCTGATACCAATGATGGGGCACTATTCCTCCACTGATACCAATGATGGGGCACTATTCCTCCACTGATACCAATGATGGGGCACTATTCCTCCAACTGATGATAAGACACTAACCAATGATGGGGATGATGGGGCACTATTCCTCCCACTGATACCAATGATGGGGCACTATTCCTCCCACTGATACCAATGATGGGGCAATTCCTCCAACTGATACCAATGATGGGGCACTATTCCTCTACCTGATACCAATGATGGGACACTGGTCCTCCAACTGAAACCAAAGATGAGTTCCACTGGCCAATCCTGAGGTGCTATTCCTTCCACTGACTCCAGTGATGGGACACTATTCCTCCCACTGATATTAATGATGAGGCACCATTCCTCCCACTGACCCCAACAACGGGGCACTATTCCTCCCACTTATACCAATAACGGGGCACTATTTTTCCCACTGATACCAACAATGGGGTGCTGTTCCTTCTATTGACACCAACAATGAGGCACCATTCCTTCAACACCCACGATGGGGTACTATTCCTCCCACTGATACCAATGATGGGGCAATATTCCTCCCACTGACACCAATGATGGGGCATTATTCCTCCCACTGACACCAATGATGGGGTACTATTCCTCCCATTGATACCAATGATGGGGCACTATTCCTCCCACTGACACCAATGATGTGGCACTATTCCTCCCACTGACACCAATGATGGGGCACTATTCCTCCCACTGACACCAATTATGGGACACTATTCCTTCCACTGACACCAATGATGGGGCACTATTCCTCCTACGGACACCAACAATAGGGCATTATTCCTTCCACTGACCACAGATTCCCAACCACTAAACTGGCCCTTTGTTTAAAAAGTTTGGAGACCCCGAAATATTAATATATGTGCACCTGACCATCACAACTACTATATGTCAAGATGTTTGTGGACAACCAACCATCACAATCTCTACAATGTCATTGTATGCTGTAGTTCTAACAGAGCCCTTCACTGGAAACATCTGAACTCAAACATATGGAGGGATGCCCACATATTTTTAGTCATATAGCATATTTGTGTTCCTTATTACGCATTACATTTGTCTCAGTGTCTCCTATTCAGGACTTTTTCTCTCAGAGAATAGGTACAGGAACTCTTCCTTTCCAAGTCATCCCTTGTCTCCGCCCCCTGCCCACCTCCGAGCACTGCTCCTTGGTTCCACCCCCTACCCACCTCCCAGTACAGCCCTTTTAAAGAATACAGAATCAAGTATAATTTTGTGATACGTAATTTGCATGAAATTTATATTAATGATAACAAGAAAAGCAGTAAAATAGATCCCCTGCAGCCAGCAACAATTGACCCCCACAGAAACAATAGATATCCCCAGCAACAATGGACCACCCGCAGGAAAATACACCTCCAGCAACAATAGACCACTGGCAACCAACAGATCTCTCCGTAGCCAACATAAATAGACCCTCCATCAGTCAGCAACAATAGACCCCTCCCTCAGCAGTAGATCCCTCCCCCAATTTACCTCCACAGCAACTTAAGACCCACCCATATCAACAAACGATCCCCCATCAGCAACAATAGACACCCCATAAAAATAGATCCCCTCAAGCAACAATAGATCCCCCAGCAGCTATCATCAATAGACCCTCCAGCACAAACCCCTTGCCATTACGTACAATTAGTGCTGAAGGTTCCGAAACTGCTTTCCCACTGAAATAGATCCCTCCTTCTATTCACTCAGCTCTATTTTCTCTGATATGATTACCTTCAGCAACTCTATCTCTGGACATGCTTGTGTAGTGCCGTCCTAGAATAGGTTGCTAGAGAGGTTAAGGTACATTTAGTTTTTTAGCTCATCTGTAATCAGTGGAGCGGTGTGTGATTATTTTTGGCTGTTTTGGATCTAACTGATCTCAGCCAATCCCTGGGGGAGACAATGCCTAGTAGGTGGCTGAGAGGTATATTATTATTATACAGGATTTATATAGCACCAACAGTGTGCTCAGCGCTTTACAATATAACGGGAGACAATACAGCAACAATACAGATCAATACAAGAGGGATAGGAGGGCCCTGATCCTGGGAGCTTACAATCTAGGAGGAGGGGCTAGTGGTACAAAAGGTAATAACTGTGGGGGATGGACTGGTAGGAGGAATAGAAGATTCCATTATTAGCTGAAGGCAGGATAGGCTTCCCTGAAGGGATAGGTTTTCAGAGATCGCCTGAAAGTGAGCAGAGTAGTCGGTAGTCTGATAAATTGGGGTAGAGAGTTTCACCCCCCCCCCCCCCCCCCTCTTTCAGAGGATGTGGGAGGCTCTGAAGAAGTCCTGGAGATGAGCATGGTAGGAGGAGAAAAGGGAGCTAGAAAGTAGGAGGTTGTGCGAGGAGCGGAGAGTACGGTTTGGGTGATATTTGGAGACAAGATCGGTGATGTAATTTGGGGCAGAATTATAAATGGCTTTATATGTTATTGTTAATGTTTTGAATTTTATCTGTTGGGCAATGGGAAGCCAGGGAAGGGATTGGCAGAGAGGGATGGAGGACACTGAGTGGAGGGATTGGCAGAGAGTGATGGAGGACACTGAGTGGAGGGATTGGCAGAGAGGGATGGAGGACACTGAGTGGAGGGATTGGCAGGGAGGGATGGAGGACACTGAGTGGAGAGGTTGGCAGAGAGGGGTGGAGGACACTGAGTGGAGGCCAGTGGAGGGATTGGCAGAGAGGGATGCAGGACACTGAGTGGAGGCCAGTGGAGGGATTGACAGAGAGGGATGGAGTACACTGAGTGGAGGCCAATCTGTGGATTGGCAGAGGGGGATGGAGGACACTGAGTGGAGGCCAGTGGAGGGATTGGCAGAGAGGGATGGAGGACACTGAGTGGAGGCCAGTGGAGGGATTGACAGAGAGGGATGGAGTACACTGAATGGAGGCCAGTGGGTGGATTGGCAGAGGGCGATGGAGTACACTGAATGGAGGCCAGTGGAGGGATTGGGAGAGAGGGGTGGAGGACACTGAGTGGAGGCCAGTGGAGAGATTGACAGAGAGGGGTGGCAGATACGGAACGGTTGGTAAGATGGATGAGCCTGGCAGCAGCATTCATGATAGACTAAAGAGGGGATAGCCTGCGATGAGGTCGGCCAATGAGGAGGGAGTTACAATAGTCAAGGCGAGAGATAACAAGGGAGTGAATACGTTGCTTAGTGGTTTCCGAGGTTAAGAACGGTCATATCTTGGAGATGTTGTGGAGGTGAAGTCTATATGATTTGGACAGCGATTGGATTTGGGGCTGAAAGGACAGATGGGAGTCTAGGATTACACCTAGTACCCTGGCATGAGGGGAGGGGCTGATGATTGTATTATTGATCTTGATGGAGAAGTCAGGGGAGGGGGTATATAAATAGTCTGGGGCCTGGAACAGTAGGCTTTGTGTCCATGAGGAGAAGACCCAGCCTGAAGGGCTGCTGCCCTTCTGGGGCAGATTAGCTGAAGTCTGCAGGAGTTCACCGAGATATCAAGCTCAGGAAAGAGCTGCCTTCTGAGAGAAGTTGGAGGCCATTCAAAGTGGTTCACTGAGGATCAGGCCTGGATGGAGGTTCAGAGGAGAGGTGTCTGGCTTGTACTGGAAGGAGGCATCCAAGTACACTGGGACATTGTGAGTTTAGGCCGGAATGAGAGATCCTGGTCACGGTTGCTGCATTAACCCTTCGACCAACTACTCCAGAGTTGCTGACTTGGGACTGTTCCTGTTCTTGGAATCCCTGAGTTGCTTGTTCCCCTATTGTCAGTCAAGAGGGAAATTATCCTGAAGCATTTAGTTAAAATAGAGCGTGTCCTCTGCTACTTTGTGCACTAAATTTGCACGATCCTAAAGCTTATCCTGCTCCCTATCCAAGTTCAACGAGCATTAAATCTCAAAAAGTCATTCCTTGTCCGGTCCTTGAGTCGTGAGACTGTACTGCTGTGTTCCTGGTTGGTTTGCACTCCATTGGGAAGAGAACCTGGGTCAAATCTGAGGGGCCCATCAGGAGTTTGCCCTACACTTACTAATACCCTCCCATGAGAGCCCCGAGTGCTCTTATTTCATAGTACACCCATGTCTACTTATTAATACAGAATACCAGTGGTGTCCCCATTTACGCAAAATCTTGATCCCCAAATACTGGAAAGCTACCAAACCACCCCCCACTACTAGAGCAGGTACCACAAGTACATA